AGGAGGAGGAGGAGGAGGAGGTAAGGAGGTGGGGCTTGGACTTCAGTTTCTCTCCCTTTCTGCAGTTGGCCACACCTTCCTCCTGTCCCTGGACCCTGTATAGCCTTCTCTGTGTTGCTGGCCTACCTGCTCCAGTCATCTCTTTACTCTCTCTGTCCTTCCCACTTTTCCCCTTCATCTTTGTCTTCCAATGGGCCTGTCCCTTCTGCTGCCATCTGACACTGAACACTCTGGATGGCATATGGTTCTACCCTCTCTCTACTTTCTCCCAGAACAAGGCTCAGGCTAAGGCTACAGGACCTGGGGGCCAGGGTTGATGTGACTGAGCATGAGCTCACCTTGTGGATAGACAGTGGGGTCCTGAGAAGTGTAGTGGGGTCCTGAGAAGAGTAGTGGGGTCCTGAGGTCTGTCTTAAAATGTGAGTCTAACCTTACTTGCTGTTAACCTTTGCTACACCAAGGGTTCCATGCACCACAGGTGGGATTACACACCTGTAATCCCAGCATTGAGGCAGAGGCAGGTGGACCTCTGTGGGTTCCAGGTCAGCCTGGTATACATAGTGAGTTCCAGACCAGCCAAGGTGACATAGTGAGACCCTGTCTCAAACAAAACAAAACACAAAAAAATGAAAAAAGCCAAGGGTTCCTTGTTAGCTCCTAGGCTCTCTGGGTATTTAAAGCTGAACTCCCAAACAGGTAGTCTTCCTACCCTGCCCCTGGCTTTGGTGGGCAGCCATGGGGACATAATCCTCCTGAGTCCCTGTGCCATAGGCTCTAGAAGGAGGAACCCCTGTTCTAGCACAGGCTCTAGGAGGGGAGTCTTGTTGAGAGATGGTGAGATTTGTGTGCATCCCAGGGCTCTCAGGCCTCCACATACAGCCCCTGACCCTAGGGAAGGGAGAAGGCTAGGAGACATGAATGTTAGGTATCTCTCTGGGCCTGTGGTGTGGCATCTCTCTGAATATGTGGAGGTTGCCCCCAGTTTGCATCTTTAAGACTTGATATGAGCCTCTTTCTAAAAATTTATTATTATTTGTGTGTAATGTGTATATGTATATGCTTGTGCCAGGGTACATGTGCCCATGGTGAACATGTAGAGGTCAGAGGACAACTTAGTGAAGTGTCCTTTCACCTTAATGTGGATTCTGGGGATCAAACCTAGGTGGTTAGGCTTGCCTTCAAGTGCCTTTACCCCTTGAGCCATCTCCCCCATCCTACAGAGGGCCTTCCCATTGTCTGTGACTTGTATATGTGACTGTCTCTCCAACTTGACAGCGAGCTCTGGAAGGGCAAGGGCTGCATGTGTTCACATAAACTGTGTAGCCTGACTTCTAGCACAGGATAGGGACTTAGCAAACATTGTGGGCAATTCTTTGTGTGTCCATGGAGGCAATCCTCCCAAGTGTGGCCCCTCATCCTTCTCTGGGCATCCACCCTATAGACGTGCAGGTTTCTGCATGCTTGTGTCTGTGTGATCATCCTCTGAGTGTGTGTCCCCTGTGTGTGTAGCTGTGTATGGGTGTGACCTTCAGCAGCCACCCCCAGCTAACCTGGCTGATGCCCACCAGGACCCTCTCCCCGGCACCGCTTGGAGCCCATGGATACCATCTTTGTCAAGAATGTGAAGGATGGTGGCCCTGCCCACAAGGCAGGGCTTCGCACAGGTGAGCCTGCCCAGTGGCCTGGTTCACTGCACCCTTCTGTGACCCTATTCCTTTCCTTCTGGTTGGGTTCTGGGACCCAGATGTTGGGGAGGTTCCTGTTTTCCTACTGTCATTCATACCTGTACAAGGGGCCTTTGACCTCCCCTCCTTGGCCTCTCACATGTGGTCGCACCTCTTGTCCCTAGGAGACAGGCTTGTGAAGGTGAATGGGGAAAGCGTCATTGGAAAGACCTACTCCCAGGTCATAGCTTTGATCCAGAACAGGTGAGCTCTCCTGCCTTCCTCCTCCTGAGGAGCATTGAGCTCCACCCCTGCCAGGACCCAGCGACCTGGCTCCCTCTCCCCCAAGACCCTGTTGCCTTGGGTGGCCTGACCCTCTCCCTGTCTCTACAGTGATGACACCCTGGAGCTCTCCATCATGCCCAAGGATGAAGACATCCTCCAGCTGGTGAGTTCTGCCTGCCGGCACACAGCCTTCTCTAGCTCCTGTGGGAGAAAAGAAAAGGAAACAGCTTGTCATTGCCCAATCTACACTGCCAGGCCCATCCCTGGGCTGAGGCTGGTTGTTGCTTCATTCAAGGCTGCTCTGTGCTAGTGAGTGGGGAGGCCCTGACCTTGGCAGGCAGGATTCCTGCCAGGGTATCTGAAAGTAGGGTGGCCCAGCGGGCCCTGCCAGCCTGGCATGTTCTTGTCACTCCTGTGAGAGATGCCTGTTCTCTGCACTCCCTCCTTTCCTGAGCCAGCATGGCTCTATAGGTATGTCCACCCATCAAACATTACCTTTCAGCATATCCCATTCACCCCACTGTCATGGTACCACTTAGTACAAATCAGAATACCCCATAGTACCCTCCTTTGCATAGCACTGTACAACACAACTCTCCATAAGACACACATAGCATCCCAGGCACTGACTACCATACAGACAGCCCCCAGTGCCATCACAGTTCACCCTCTACGTCACAGTGCACCATAATACCTACACAGCACAGAGCAGGACCTCACAGTGGTCTCACTGGCACTTCTGTGCCCTGCAGCACATTCACCGCCCTATATCACAGCGCATATGTCTGGATACCGGGTTGCTATGACGTAGTACATACTGGCATGTTATCATCACAATGCTACACACAAATGTCACAGCATGCTGCGGCCTCTCTCAGATACTTGTGCTTAGCAATATCCGAGAATCCCACATTCACACACATGGGATTTGCATTCTGAACCCACTGCCCAATGCCTCAGCACAGCTAGAATATAACACAGATGGTGCCACCCAAAGGCAAGTCCCACAGATGTATGAAGCAACCCGAGAGCCCCTTGCCTGGAGCCTAGGACAGTCAGTCCCCCTTGCCTAGTGCTCTGCTTGGTCTCATGGATCTCAGCCAGATGCCAGTTTGCTTGCCCCTGAGGTCACTGCCCCTCAAGGGATGGCCCAGGGCCAAGCCCCAGAGGGCCGGAGCTGCTGTGCTGGCTTTGGCCCTGGCTCTCATAATCACTGTAATAACAGGGCCACACTTGGCATGATGCCTCCCTGGGAACCTCCACTCCTGACCTCAGTTGTCCCTTTGCTCTTCCTGGGGATAAGGAGCAAAGAATGGAGGCTCAGAGAGGTGAATGGCTCACCCCAAGTCTCAAAAGCCCTGCTTGTGCCCTTCCCCTAGCCTAGGCTGAGGCAAGGCCAGTTATGAGGGGTGACAGGGCAGGTCTCTGGGGCACCCTGGCTGGCTCTAGCTGCCAGGGGCAAGGGGTGGCAAGGGCAGCAGACTTGAACTCTACTACCCAGACCCAAATCAGCTGGCAGCCCCAGATGTCAACATCTGTGAGCTGCCACTACCCCGCCATCTCTGGCCAGCCAGAGGGTGGGGCCCAGGCATTCCTGTGGTTGGGAGCCAAGGCTGGAGGCCAATCGGGCGGCGGCAGCTGCTGACGCCACCACCGACGCGGTGAGGGCCTTCCACACCCATTCTCCCTCCTCCTGCCGCCAGGCAGCCGGAGAACCGGGTGGGGGCGAGGGCGAGCTGCCGGGAGGGACCATTGAGAGGACTGAGGGACCCAAACCAGCAGGGTGGGGGCTGTGGTAGTTAGTTGGCAAGGTGTGTGCGTGGGGAATCGGGGCCAGCGGGATGCTGCTGCTGCCACTGTGATGCTGGGAGCCCTGGGAGCCGGCAGGATGGCAGGAGGGAGAGGTATGTGTTGGCCCTGTGTGCTGGGCTGGAGGGGCCGTGTGCGGGGGTGTGGTTAGCCGGTCCTGGTCACATGATGTTTGTGCCTGGAACTGGAGGGGTAGTTATTTGTGTGTGTGTGTGTGTGTGTGTGTGTGTGTGTGTGTGTGTGTATCTCATTGTGTCTGCTGTGTATGTGTGTATCTCAGGGTGTGTATCTTCCTGTGTTTCTCTGAGATATGGTGTGGTACATGTGTATGTTGGCTTTACCCTCCTACCCTTTGCCATTTCACCCTGAGACTGGCCCTCTCAGCTTAGCCGGTACTGGGCTGGGCCAGGGCCACAGGCTGTTGTCCCTGGGGGCTGCCTCCTTTTTTGGCTGAGCCTGGGCGCTAGCCCTGTCACTCCTCAGCAGTGCAGTGTCAGCTTCAGCGGCCAGTGCCAAATTCCAGGCCTAGGGGTGGTGAAGGCGGCCCAAGTCCCCTCAGCCAGTCTAGCTAGCCCCTCCCCCAAGCTGGCCTTTGGAGAGCAAAAAGTGGGCAAGTTCCTCTTTACCCCAAGGCTTAGAAGCAAGGTCCCAGCTTGCCATATGGGTTACAGGGTCAGTGGACCCTCCCAGCCTCTGCCTACCCTCAGACCACCCTACGTTGGACACACCCCTTAGCCAGCTTTCTTCTGTCTTCTGCTACCTTGACAGGTCTCTGCATTTTCCCACTTCACCCCAGGGGCTGTGGACATCGTTGGTCATAAAGGAACAGTAGTTGTCAGAGGCCAGGATCAGGGGAGGACCCCAGCAAACAAATGTTGGAATGTTTATGACTTAAAGGCTGTCCTTGTCATAAGACTTAGAGAAATCTGTCTCTTTCTTGTGTGTGTGTGTGTGTGTGTGTGTGTGTGTGTGTGTGTGTGTGTAAAGGCCTCTCACTTCTTTGTCCTCCCCCTGGACTCTCCTTGGAGCATACCCTCGCCCACTCAGGATGCCACTACTTAATCCTTTCACTTCAGTCCCCTTCTGAGACCTTAATATCCTAGGGCTCTCATCCTGTCTGGTCCTGCTCACATGCCTCTGTGTCTCTGACCAGGCCTACTCCCAGGACGCCTACCTGAAGGGCAACGAGCCGTATTCTGGAGAGGCCTGCAGCATCCCAGAACCTCCCCCACTCTGCTACCCCCGGAAGACCTATGCCCTACCAGCCCGGGTCACTGCCTGGGCCACTGTGGTGCCTGAGCCTGTCTCAGCACTGGCCATGGACCCTCGAAGTCCTGCTGCCTGGAGTGACCCAGGGCCCTGTGTCCCATCTGTCACCCGTGCCCATCTGGACAACTCTTCTTTGGGGATGAGCCAGCCCCGCTCAAGCCCTGGTGCCTTCCCTCATCTCCCGTCGGAGTCCCGGATGCCCCGTGCCTTCCCGGAGCCCAGCAGCCGGGTGCTTCCCAGCAGACTGGAGTGCCAGCAGGCTCTGTCACACTGGCTGTCAAACCAGGTACCCCGCAGGGCGGGGGAGAGACGGTGCCCAGCCATGCCACCCCGGGCCCGCAGCGCCTCCCAGGATCGGTTGGAGGATGTGACTACCCACTGCCCATGGCCCTGCTCCACCTCCCAGGATGCCTTGAGCCAGCTGGGACAGGAGGGCTGGCACCGAGCTCGCTCAGATGATTACCTGAGCCGGGCTACCCGCTCTGCTGAAGCACTGGGACCAGGAGCACTGTTGTCACCTCGCCTTGAGCGCTGTGGCTGGGCTTCCCAGCGTCCATCAGCTCACACTTCTGCCTGCCCTCAGGACCTGCCAGGGCCTCAGGCCCCTCCCCCACCTGGCTTGCAGGGCCTGGATGACATTGGGTACATTGGATACCGAAGTTACAGCCCATCATTCCAGCGCCGGACTGGCCTTCTGCATGCACTGTCCTTCCGGGACTCACCATTTGGGGGGCTTCCTACCTTCAACTTGGCCCAGTCCCCTGCATCATTCCCACCAGAGGCCTCCGAACCACCTCGAGTTGTCAGACCAGAACCCAGCACCCGAGTCCTGGAGCCTCCCGCTGAGGATCACCGTGATGAGGTGGTCCTGAGGCAGAAACCTCCGACAGGTCGTAAAGTCCAGCTGACCCCTGCAAGGCAGATGAACCTTGGATTTGGTGATGAGTCCCCAGAGCCAGAGGCCAGTGGGCGAGGGGAACGCCCAGGCAGGAAGGTGGCCCCTTTGGCCACTACGGAAGACTCTCTGGCTTCTATCCCCTTCATTGGTGAGTGGTGATGCAAGCAGCTGACTGAGGAACCCAGTCTGTGTCCTGTTGTGCCCCACCCACTTGTCTGCTGTGCTTAAAACTCTGGGTGTGTGCCGATAGTATCACTGGAGATCCCTGTCTGTCCACTCATCTTTCTATTCTTCAGTCATCCTTTCTTCCATCCCACCTCCCAGTCATTCATCTTCCCATCCAGTTTTTCATACCTCTCCCTCCCTCCCTTCCATTCATTCTTTTCTCCTTCTTGCCTTCCTTTTCCTTCTTGAGATTTGCTATGTAGACCAGGCTGGCCTCAAACTCACAGAGATCCAACTGCCCCTGCCTCCCAAGCACTGGGACTAAAGGCGTGTGCCACCACGCCCGGCTCTGCCTTTCATTCTTTGTTCTTTCCATCTATCCTTCCTGCCTCCAACAAATATTTGTGTCAGGCACCTTGCTAGGCTTTAGGGTCACCTGGGGGATGGCTGGTCAGACAGTGTCAGGCCAGTGACATTGGCATGTACCTGGAGCTCCCAGATAGGAAAGGGCCCCATCGCCTCCATGGGCACGGTCAGTAGTGAGCAAATCTTGGAAAAACGACATTGTGGCTAAGACTAGAAAGATACGAGGTAGTGTGGGGAAGAATGTTCAAGGAGAGAGACTAGACTATGCAAAGAGCCTGCAGTGAGAGACCCTTCTGGTTCAAGGCCAAGCTTGGACTTCACCCTGAGGACAGAGAAGACTGTGATGGCTGCCTGTAAAGCGGGTGACAAAAAGAAAAAGTAAGGCAAGGCAGAGGGGCTTGGTGACTCCTAGTTCTCTGGCCTGCCTAAAGGGTGATGCCTCACCTGTATTGGAGGCTGGGGTACAGGAAGAACAAGAAAAAGATTAGGTTTGTGAGGGAGCAGGCTAAGTTGGGCCAGATTCAGGGGCTTGGGATAAGACTGGGATGTAAGATGATGGCATTGAGCCTAAGACCTGGAGATGGGAGTCACGGCTGTACAGCCTAAGAATTGAGTAAGAAACCTGGGCAGGGTGGAGAGATGCTTATGTGTGGGTTCAGCCCTGTTTCAGTAAACCCTGGCTGAGGGCAGCTATCAAGTGCTCCCAAGGGAGAAATATAACCTTTGTTATATTTCAGGGAGCCACAAGTCTGATAGAATCTTATCTACATCTTAGGAGCCCACTCTAAGGAGGTAGCTCAGTTTCACTCCTGGGTGCCCTTGGGGGGAGGGTCAGCCCCTGATGAGAGGAGACATTCTCTGGTCACATCTGTTGGGCACAGTGCTCTGGGAAGTGAATGTATTGGCTGCAGTGCCCTGGTAGGGAAGGACTGAGGGGATTGCAGCTTGTGTGAGCCCAAAGGCTAATGAGGCTGGGGCAGTCAGGCAGGTTAGCCTGTGTCTTTCACACCTGCCTTCCTCTTTTGGCAGATGAGCCCACCAGCCCCAGCATTGACCTCCAAGCGAAGCATGTCCCTGCCTCTGCAGTGGTCTCCAGTGCCATGAATTCAGCCCCTGTCCTGGGCACCAGCCCATCCTCACCAACCTTCACCTTTGCCCTTAGCCGCCATTATTCACAGGACTGTAGTGAGTATCTGTACCCTGCTTTTTCTTCCTTCCCTACTGCCTGGTCCCTGTGACTGATGTCTATTTACTTCCAATTAGTTTTTGATACTTCTTTTTTTTGGTGTTTTTGAGACAGGGTCTCCCTGTAGCCCCAGCTGACCTGGAAATCACTATGTAGACCAGGCTGGCCTTGAACTCACAGAGATCCACCTGCCTCTGCCTCCCAAGTGCTGGGATTAAAGGCATGTGCTACCACGCCTGGTGGGTTTTTGATACTTCTGGGACACCATGGGAGAGTCCACTCCTGACTCTGACCACAAAGGAGGGCTCTTGGTGCAGCTCCCAACCTGCTTGCTGATCTTGACTCACTTTTTCAGGTAGTATCAAGGCAGGCCGCCGCTCCTCCTATCTGCTGGCCATCACCACAGAGCGCTCCAAGTCCTGTGACGATGGGCTCAACACCTTCCGGGATGAGGGCCGAGTGCTGCGGTGAGGCCTATCTGGATGTGTGTGGAGGGTGGTTGATGTTTCTGCCCTCCTAGGCTGAGCCATGGGGTTGGGTGGGTGATAAGAGTGAGATTGATCCTCACAACAGCCCTCACCTTTGGCCCTTGCTTCCCAGGCGCCTACCCAACCGTGTGCCCAGCCTAAGGATGCTCCGGAGCTTCTTCACCGACGGGGTGAGCAACAAGTTCACATTTGTGTGTGTGTGTGAGTCTAGAAGGGTGAAGGCACTACATAGTGTTGGTTCCGGCCTGTGACTCCTGTGACTCCCAAACGAACCACTCTGGCTCCTGGCTCCTTCTTCCCTATACCCCACCTTCATGTCACCTATGTGACCTACCTCCCACCTGAAGACTTTGCATTTATCCCCCATCTGGAAAGCTCCAAACCACAAGACTTTTTTTGTGCTCAGTATGGAATCCATGGTTTCTTTCTTTTCTTTTTCTTTTTCTCTTTCTTTCTTTCTTTCTTTCTTTCTTTCTTTCTTTCTTTCTTTCTTTCTCTCTCTCTCTTTCTCTCTTTTTCCTTCTCTCCTTTCTTCCTCCTTCCTTCCTTCCTTCCTTCCTTCCTTTCTTTTTTTATTCATTTATATGTTTCAGTTTATTTATTTATTTAGGTCTGATTGAGACAGGGTCTCCTTGTAGCCCCAGCTGGCCTGGAACTCACTATGTAAATCAGGCTGACTTTGAACTCACAGAAATCCACCTGCCTCTGCCTGCTGGGATTAAAAGTTGGTGCAGCACCACGCCTGGCTATTTATTTACTTATTTTTATTGAATTTTTGAGTATTTCATCCATAAAATCATTTTTATACCCTCTTCCCCTTTCACACCTTCCCATAGTGTCTCCCCCACCCCCACTGGAGTTCATAATTCTGTCATTTGTATTAAAGTCTATTATGTAAAGTTAGTGTCCTGAGATGTCCCTCAGTGCAAATTCATCCACCAGGGTTTAGTCAACCTATCTAGAGTCTCTACCTTCAAAAAGATCAGCTCTTCCTCATCCAGCAGTAATCAGTTGCCAATAATTCTTTGACCAAGATTGGGCTTGCTATTCATTTCCACAGTTCTATGCTGGGCTTTTCTCTGCCTAAGTTTGCATGGGTCTTGTGCATGCTGACACCATTGCTGTAAGTTTGTATGAGAAAGGTCCCAGGAGCCTGTAGGGCTATTTCCATGTGGTCATACACCTCCTCCCTGGCTCTTACAATCTTTCCACCCCTTCTTCTGCAATGGTTCCTGACGCCCAAGTTCTCTTGGGGTCCCTTGCTCCTGATGTGAGTAGAAAAACCATATAGCACATCTTTATCTGAATTTTTCATAGTTTATATCTTTAGGGGGGAGGGGAGTGATTTACAAAGGAATGAACACCCGACACCTGGCACCCAGCTTTGTGCAGCTTGGCCCGCCATTCCAGACTGCTTCCACACCCGCCCACAGTTTCCATTAGCTTTTGTCCACACATCATGGGCCCATAGTCTTGCCCCAGGTTGGTAAATGCCCCCTCTCGCATCCATGTGGGTGAGACACTGGGGCTATCTTTCTGCGCTGCTGCTTTTGTTCCAAAATGGCACCCAAAGGTCCCTCCCTCTGCAGCAAACTCTCCTTAGTCAATTCTCTGCAGCAGGCCCTGCCCCTTGGAGGAACCAAGCTGCTTGGGACACACTCCACCCCTTTCCTCCACTCTTACAATCTTTCTGCCAATCTTCCGCTAAGGTCCCTGAGCCTCAGAGAGGGTGACAGATGTAGGGTGATCTCTCCTGTATCATGGCGAGATAGTGACTTCTGGGGCCTCCCCATCATCCTTCTTGAAGGTGTGCCCATTGATCTATCTCAGTGGTGTTTCTTTTACTATAAAGACAAATAGAAGGAAGTAGACACATCTAAACAAACATGAATGTAAATACAAATGCCTAGGGGATAGCCCAGTAGGTGTACTATGTTCATTAAACAGTATACTTGTAATGGTTTCCCCACTAGGGCATGTAGCCTTTCTCGACACAGGGGGTTGGCCTGGTCTACAGCACCAGATGTGTGTTCCACCCCTAGGAGTGGGCCTTATCCAATTAGAAGTTTGTCAATTGTATGTATGTTGGTCGAGCCATTATTACACTTGCATGTCCATAGTGTGCAGCATGTGGGGTCCATTGTTGAGTAGACTAATAGGGGATCCTTTCTTCCCTAACCATGTGCATAGCGCCTTCTGGCACTATGAATGTCATCCATCCAGTGGCATGGAGTTTTTTTGGCTTAGTCTCAGCTCCATCTCTTCTTCTCCTCCCGCGCTCACATCATGCAGTGTCTTCAGCAACATGGCCTCACTGACCTTTCTAGTGTACAACTGACATAGTGGCAATAGCCTTGGTGAATTTGAGGACCTCTAGGATCTCTCTCTGACCAACAGCTCATAGGGAGGCAACCCACCCCTGGTACTGTAGATTTTCTTAACAGTTGTATAGATTGGGAGCCTCTGTTTTTTAATATATATTTTGTCTGTCTGTCTGTCTGTCTGTCTGTCTATCTATCTATCTATTTATTTGGTCTTTTTGAGACAGGGTCTCCCTGTAGCCCCAGCTGTCCTGTATTCACTATGGAGACCAGGCTGGCCTCAAACTCACAGAGATCCACTTGCCTCTGCCTCCTGAGTGCTGGGATTAAAGGTGTGCACCACCACGCCCGGCTTTTTATTTCTTATTTTAATTTTTTTTTTTTTCGGTCTTTTTGAGACAGGGTCTCCCTGTAGCCCCAGCTGTCCTGGGACTCACTACGTAGACCAGGCTGGCCTTGAACTCACAGAGCTCTGCCTGCCTCTTATTTTAATTTTTTAATGTGTATGAGTGTTATGCCTGCATGTAGATAAGTGCACCCGTGTCATGCAATGCTTGTGAAAGACAGAAGAGGCTGTTAGATCTTGTGGAACTGGAGTCATGGACAGTTGTTAGCTGCCATGTGGGTGCTGGGATTTGAACCCAGGTCTTCTGCAAGAACAACCAGTGTTCTTAACTGCTGTGCCATCTCTCCAGACCTGGGAGCCTCTGTTTTTATCTTATCCAACCATAAAACTTCCAAGAGTCTTACAGCTATAGCTGGCCTTTGCTTCTTCAGGTATCTTTTAAATGGGTTTCACATCTGTAAACACTCGAAGGAAAGTTAACATCATATATTAAATCAATCATAGACAAGGTTTAATATAGCATGGAAAGGTTTTATCCATTCGTATTAACTGTTTTCTCCATAGATCCTTATTAGGTACCATAGCATGGGTATGAAGCATTAATTTGGTTAATTCTTTATCTTTTTTAAAAAAATATTTTATTTATTATTTTTATTTTATGTGTATGATTGTATTGCCTGCATGTAGGTAAGTGCACTCGTGTCATGCAGTGCCTGCAGAGGACAGAAGAGGCCATCAGATCCCCTGAAACTGGAGTTATGGACAGTTGTTAGCTGCCATGTGGGTGCTGGGATTTGAACCTGGGTCTTCTGTAAGAACAACCAGTGTTCTTAACTGCTTAAGCCATCTCTCCAGCCCCAGTTCTTTACTATCTTTAGTTCTCCCTTTGGAGTCATTTCGCACTTGGGGGATTTTACATGGAGTCTCTTTGTATTCTTTTATTCTTGATACGCTTACAGGTATTGGCTCCAGTTGCCTGACCCTGCATTGGGCTAAAGAGGCAGGGAGTTTCTCCTGTCCCTGCTGAACCTGTTGGTTCCCTGAGTCAGGCAGGCCCTGGGTCTGCCTCCTGACTGTAGCCATATCTGTCATCTCTCCATTAACCATATCTGGTTGCTGGGGGAGGCCTTGGTGGGAAAAACTGCCTCCACCCCTAGTGTAGCCTTTATCAGGAGAGAAATGCATCTTATTTAATCTTTGGGGATTCTTAACCACCCCTAGGACAGTTTTTATTCTTTGAATGCCTTTTGTAAACTGTTGTTCTGGTTTTAAAGCCTTCCAGAAACTCTTTAGTACCATGTTTAGTTTTCTATCAATTTTTTTGCTGGGAATTTGAGCTCGACATAAGTCTTTCCATATTTGTCTTCGAGTAACCCAAATGGACCATTTCTTCTGTCTGGTCTCTTTTATATCTCTTGTAGGGTAGTCTACTATTCTACAGACACGTTTTACATGCTGGTTAGAATCAATTAGATCTGTTAAAGCTGCTCTCACTTCACAAAGATCCTGTCCCATTAAAGGGCTTAGCAAAACCATTAGAGCTCCATACTATTTTTGAGGTCCCAGTTGAATTAAGCTTTCCTTTATATCTCTGGTGGACACAGTCTTATCTGGCCCAGTGAACTGGGTATCATATATTGCTTTTCTCATACCTAGTTCTCTCAGTAATGCCTATCCCTCCTTTATAGTCCTCCAGCCTTTGTTAATTATTGGAGTTTCATTTGGCGATAACCATGTATCTCTAAAATGCCTTCCATCAGCCATCCCATTAAGGACTGCTCCCCCCTGCAGTGACCTAGGTTGAACAGCCTATATCACAAGGATGGATGGGTGGTTATATAATTCAGCTGTGAAACTTCTGAAGGACTTAGACTGATGTCATTTTTTCCCATGTCCCACACTCTGACAAGCCACACAGCTAGGGGCTCTTTGATTGATTGCTTGTAAGTTTTTCCTAGTTTTAACAGTTCCAGTGTGGAGTATTTCTTAGCTACAGCACTGTTAGCTTTTTTTTTTTTTTCTTTTTGTATCAATGGTTGCATCTGAGGGACAGCTTTAGCTACTCTTATTTTTAGGTCATCTCCTTTCTTACTATTATCTGTCTTTTTCTCCTTGGACCTTACACAAGTTAAAATGTCCTGTTTTTTTTCTCTCAAGTTCTGCAATTGGGTCTGCCAGGACCTCCCCAGCCTTTTCAGCTTTCCCTGCCTTGGGCACAGCTTTTATTATGCAAAGTGGCCCCACCCCCTCTCTGGGTTCTCCACTTGTGTCCTTGGTCCACAACAGTTTTTCTATAACCTTTAACAAATCTTCATATATCCGCAATTGGGCTGTTTCCCCACATTTACAACACAGCTGTGGCCCATGCTTCTGCGTCGCTGGCCTCTTCTTAATTATATATTTTATAATCTACTGTAAAATGTACATCAGCACCGCCATTAGCTCTCTAGCTTTTTCCAAACTCCTACAGTTTGTCATTCCTAGTACCATCATCCTGCCGACTATGCCAATTTGTCACCCGAGTTCTCTTAGGGTCCCTTGCTCCTGGTGCAGGTAGACAAACCATATAGCACATCTTTATCTGAATTTTTCATAGTTTATATCTTTGGGAGGTTGACGTACAAAGGAACAAACACCCGACACCTAGCACCCAGCTCTGTGAGGCTCGGCCCACTGTTCCAGATCACTTCTGCATCCACTCACAGTCTCTGTTAACTTTCGCCCATGCATTGTGGGCCCACAGTCTCACCCCAGGTCAGTAAATGCCCCCTTTCGTGTCCACTCAGGTGAGACACTGGCCATCTTTCTGTCACCGCTTCTGTTCCAAGATGTTGCCCAAAAGCCCCTCCCTCCGAGGCTAACTCTCTACAGTCAATTCTCTGCAGCAGGCCCCGCCCCTCAGAGGAACCAGGCCACTTGGGACACAATCCCTTAGCCCTGAGTGGGTGGACCTCAATATAGGAGTCCTGTCCAAGGACCCACCCTCTGCCAATTCTTATTCTCTGTGTTTTGGCCATTTGTGCCTTTTTGTGTTCCTGGCCCTCTATTGCATGAAGGAGCTTCATTGATGATAATTGAAAGATGCATCAGTGTTCTCTTCATCCCTTGTTCTATGTTCTGTGAGCCTTAGGTGTAGAGGTTGCATCCTAGATGTGCCATTTAGGCTTGGGCAATTCACAGAGAATCTCTGGGTGTGACCAGTGGTATAACTCTGTAATAGTCTCTGTTGAAAAAGAAGCATCTTTGATGGGTTGACTGGGATACCTGTCTGTGCATTTAAGGATCTGTATTTTGCACATAGTAAGAAATTATATTTGTCTAGGGATATGAGAGCTTTGGGGTTTTCTCTAAGATCTATGACCTCTCCAGTTATGTGTATTTGGCTAGGTTTACAGTATCAGACATGAGTTTCCTCCCATTGAGTGGGCTTTAAGTCCAATTAGGTAGCTGTTGATTACCCCCAAGATAAAAGTGCCACTACTGCACCAATATCGTTTGCTGTGCTGGTCATCGATGTGGTGTTTAGGCCTTGAAGCTAGGGTTGGACCATCGATTGATGTTCTCCCCACCCTTACCAGCTTGCATAGTGCTCTCCAAAACTATGAGAGCTAGGGTTTCACTATGTGGCCCCTGGTGGCTTGAACTTGTTATGTAGACCACACTGGGCTTGAATTTACAGAGATCCATCTGCCTCTGCCTCCTGAGTGCTGGGATCAAATGCATGTGCCACCACACCCTTTTTATTTTTTTATTTTTAATTGTGCATGTGTATGTGCACATGTGTGTAGGTGCCCACAAGGCCAGAGGTATGGATCCCTTTGGAGCTGGAGTTACAGGTAGTTGTGAACTACTTGACATGTATGCTGAGAACCCAACTTGGGTTCTCTACAAGAGCAGTGAGCACTCTTAATCACTGAGCCTCTCTCCAGTGTCTCTGACCCTTGGTTTCTTTTTCTTTCTTTCTCTCTCTCTCTCTCTCTCTCTCTCTCTCTCTCTTTCTTTTTTTGTCTTTTTAAGGCAGAGTCTCCCTATAGCCCCAGCTGTCCTGGAACTCACCATGTAGACCAGGCTGGCCTTGAACTCACAGAGATTTGCCTGCCTCTGCCTCCAGAGTACTGGGAATAAAGGCGTGCACCACCATGCCTGGCTAACGCTTGGTTTCTTTATTTTTCTTTTAACCCTTGGTTTCTTAAGACAAGGTCTTGATATGTATTCCAGTCTGGTCTCAAACTTGTGGTCCCACCAGCCTCATCCTCCCCAGTGCTGGGATCGCTGCCTACCTTTTGACTTTGGTAGGAACATCTTGGCTTGCTCTGATATTCCACCCTCCCTGCTGACGTTTCTTATCTCCCTTTGCTAGATTGTGCGCTTCCCTTGCTGCCTACCTGGGCAGGTCTGCCCTCTTGCCTGCTCAGATCCCCAGTAGAGAACAAATACCCAGAGGCTAGCCTTTAATTTGTGTTGTTCACTGCCAGCTGCCTAGTGCCTGTCCCTTTGCCTGCCTAGAGTTCCTATGGTGTTTGTATGGGGTTTTCAAGGGGCAGCACATTGGAAGGGAAGAGAACATGAGGGTGAGATAAATAGACTGAAGTTTCCAACCTAGGACCCAAGAAGGCAAAGGATAGAGATGGCAGTGACTACAAGTCTCTTTGTTTCATTTTGAGATAGACCCTCATGGTGTATCTCAGGTTGGCCTCAAACTCATGATCCTCCTGCCTCAGCCTCCTGAGTGCAGGAATTACAGACATATGCCACTGAGCTGCACCTTCAGCCTCACACTACTTTTTGATTATTTATTTACTTTTGGGGACAGGAGTCTTATGCAGTCCATGTTGGCTTCAAACTTGCTATGTAGCTGAGGATGACTTTAAACTGAACTTCTGATCTTCCTGAATGCTGGGATTATAGGCATGCACCACCATACCCAGCTTATGCAGTGCTGGGGACAGAACCCAGGACTTCCTGCATGCTAAGCAAGCACTCTATCAACGGAACTAAATCCCCAGTCCCTCTTTGATTATTTATGAACTGCAAAGGCCATCTGGATTTCTTTCTTTTTTTTGTTTTTGTTTTGTTTTGTTTTTTTTCTGGAGACAGGGTCTCCCTGTAGCCTTAGCTGGCCTGGAGCTTACTGTGTAGACCAGGTTGGCCTTGAACTCACAGAGATCCACTTGCCTCCCTCCTGAATGCTGGGATTAAAGGTGTGCACCACCACGCCTGGCTTCCATCTGAATTTCAAACCTTCTATATCTTTGGTTAGCTTGGCATCTTTAAGATATGGCCACCTGACTCCCCCTTTATCACTTCCTCAGCTTATTTAACTCTCCCTGGACATGTCAGCTCTGAAGCCAGAGTTCTGTTGACACTATCACTTCCTCTGTTTAACTCCTTGTGGACATGACTACCTGCTCTACTCACTTAGTCTTTGTTGATGTTCCCACTTCCCCTGTTTACTTAACTCCTTACTGACACAATCGCTTCCCCTGTTTCCTCAATTCCTTTATGGCTATAAAGTTGAAGGAGGGTGCAGATTGGCTTTCCCAGCGTGGGGAGGCATATGTTCCACTGGCAGGTTAGAGCCTTTCCTCCTTTCTGGCTTCTCCAGTAGGTCTCATGACCCCAACACAAATGGTCCAGAGAAGACAAGCAAGGCCCATGAAGTCACAAACACATCAGAGTACAGTGCAGACACACGCCAAGCCCGTGTGGCTGCAAGTGGTCCATGGGGTTCTTGAGATGGTGGTACTGTGGGAGCCACCCTAAATTGCCCTGTGCTTTCTCCCTGCAGTCTTTAGATAGCTGGGGCACCTCTGAAGATGCTGACGCCCCCTCTAAACGACACTCAACCTCTGACCTCTCAGATGCAACCTTCAGTGATATCCGGAGAGAAGGCTGGTTGTATTATAAGCAGATTCTCACCAAGAAGGGGAAGGTAAGGTGGGCTGAGGACGGAGCTTGGGCTGGATGGAAGCTGGCTCTGGCAGAACTCTCCAGCTCCTCTTATACCTACCCTGTAGCTTCTGGAGCCAGAAAAGAAGCAGCTTGGGCAGTAGTATGAGGAATGAAGGTTAGATACCAGGAAGAGTTTCTTGAGGAGGGGGATTACAGAACTCTTGAAATAAGAGGTTAACAAGAGAGGTGCTCCTTGCTGTGGAAAGCATGCATCAGGTTGTCTTTGGAATCCTGAGCAGATCTTTCCCCAGTGACCCTGAAGATGGCCATTGGGGCTTATGGGAAAAGAACAAGACCAGGGCTATGCTGAGGACCAAGAAGGAAGCAAAAATAATTTTCCTAGGACCTTGTAGGGCTTCCAGGGTACAGACTTAAGTGTGAGGGCAACTGAAACCCTTGGGGCTCTTCAGGAAGGTTAGAACTTTCAAATGCCTGTAAGGCTTCCTGAGGTGACAGAGAGGGGCCCTCCCTGCAGTGAGAAGACCAGTTAAGAAGCTACCACAAGATCCAGGTGAGAGACACTGGCCAGCGGGAGTTGGTGAGGAGGGGTTGGAGGGGAGGACGTGTAGGATACTGAAAAAAGGGTGGGACACTAATCCCCCAAGCATGAACTCTCGTGCCCTGGGCAAGGGAGAGGGAGCAGAAAGGAGGCAGAGTAGTTTTGACAAACCTGGCTTTGACTCTTGATGACATGGTGTGTTGCTTGAAGGACTTGGCCTCTATTGCCTGTGACTCATTGTATGTAAGGCAGCTGACTAATGTCTTTTTCCTAAACCTATTGCTGGAGATTAAAAGAAATGGTCTAAGTTAGGGGTGTACTATATCAGATTTGGTGGGACAGGCCTGTAATCCCAGCTACTTGGGAGGCTGAGGCAGGAGGATAGAGTTCAATTCAGGACCAACCTGGGCAACTTAGACCCTGTCTCAAAATAAAAAGTGAAAAGAGGGCTGAGAATGTAGCTCAGTGGAGTGCTTGCTTAGCAGACTTGAAGGCTTGGTTTCAGTCCTCAGCGATACACACACACACACACACACACACACACACACACACACACACACACAGAGAAGAAAGTAATATTCCTTGTGAGCTGTGCCTATGGCTCAGTGGCAGAGCTCTTGCCTAACATGTGCAGAGGCCTGGGTTCCATCCCCAGCATTGCAGAAAAAGTAGGGAAAGTGGAGGTGGGGGTTACCAGCATGTGGCACTTGGGGACTGCTGCTTTTCTGCCTTATTCTCACGGGTGACCCTCAGTATCTTGGGGGGATGGCTCCAGGAATCCCTGAGGATACCAAACTCCATGGATGCTCAAGTCCTTTATATAATATAGATTAGTATTTGCATGCAGCTTACGCAACCCTCCCATGTACTTCAAGTCATCTCTAGATGACTTGTGCTGCCTCATACTATGTAAATGCTATGTAAATAGTTGTTATCCGGGCTTGTTTATGGACTGCTGAGAAAAAAGGTCTGTACACTTCAGTAAAGATACAGGGCTTTTTTTCCTTGAGTATTTTTGACCCTGGGTTGGTTGATTGTGGATATCAATCAGATACAGATACAGAAGGTCTTGTACCTAGAAAGAATGAGCTTTCGAAAGTCAGACTTTGAGTTCCTTCACAGCCATTCATTATCCTATGCATGACTACGGGTGCCACCTTAACTTCCCTGAGCCTCCCTTTTCTGATGTGAAAGATGGGCTACGTGGGGTGGAGTCTTGGCTGTGTAGGCCAGGCAGGACTGGCAGTCAAGTTCAGCAGATAAAAAGCTTCCTGCTTGGGAGGGTCTGTTGAGTTTCTAGGCATTTAGGGTAAGAGAGAAACCAGTGCAATCCTGGGGTTGATGACCATAGAGAAAGTGCAAATTGTCACTCAGTGACAGGTGCACTGACTGTCAGAACAAATGTTCAGGGTCTCTGCAGGATAGGATTTGGGGTACCTGGTAGGCTGAGACATGAAGAGTGTAGGAGTTTGTAGCAGAGAGGGAACAGGAGGATGGAGTGACTTGGGGGAGACCCCCACATTGAGGGCCAGAAGTCAGGATTCCTGGCGTACAAGAGGTAGAAGGTGAAATGGGAGCTGGGTGCCCAGGGAGCTTCACTTCCAGGGGCCCAGTAGGGGATGGAGTAGGGAGGTGTGCAACCTAGGAGGCAAGTATGTCTGTGACAGGAGGAGCAGTGTCATTGCTGTTGTCTAGGTGATCAAGGTCCTGACATGGGACCAAGTACTGTTTGGAGTGATTCTAGGGGAAGGGTGGCCAGGCTGGCTGATGGCTGCTGGAGGCTGAGGAAGGTGGAGGATGGGCTGAGATTCCTGGCTTCCTGTCGTAGGCTGGCAGGGGGAAATCTCTCTTGAGCTGCTGGCTACTTGAGGAGCAGTTTTGGGGTAAGAAAGCTCTGTTGGAGCTGTGTGACCCCAGACATACCCTGGCTAAGGACCTGTGGATAGAGTCTCGTGGGTATAGCACTCAGGGAGGCCCACACCTGGGGAACACCTTGGTTCATCAGGTAGGCATAAGTACCTGTGGCTTCAGGTACACGGAGAAGGAGAAGACAAGGATCCATAGAGCCTTGACAGGGAGTAGGGCCTGGGGAGGTGAGGCTGGCCGGGAAACTAAAAAGCCAGAAAGATAGCAGTTACTCCAAAAAGGGTAGCCTAGGAGGGGTACATGCTATGTGAGCTGAGCAAAGCACAGGGAGCCCAGCGTGGACAAAACCCTCTAGGTCTGTGGTTGAGTCACTTGAAATGTTTCTCCTCCCAGGGAGACTGTCCTCAGCTTTGGGTGACCTTGGCAGCCCAACTTCAGTGTTTCCTGGGCAGGGACATTAACCACTTCTGAAACATAGTACTGGGGCATTCTTGCTGGCCAAAACCTGATGTCACTTGTCCCCTTGGTGCTATGGCCTGGGAGCTAGAGGAAAGGCCCTGGAGTTAATTGCAGGCCCTGGGTCTGGCCAGAGTCCTGTTTGATGGTTTGGTGTCATCAATCCTAGTAGTCTCAACCTCTTTCTCCCTCTCCTGGCCTCAGCCTGCTTCAGAGACCACTGACTGCCAGGCAGAGGACAGGCAGCCAGAGCTAATGTGTCAGGGACACAACTATGGATACCTGCTGCTTAACTTTCATTTTACAAGCAAGTCCTAGAGAGAGGGTCTTGACTAGCTCAAGGTCATCTAGCTGGTTTAGTCTCAGAGAGGTCCTTGGGGCCCCCTGCTAATACCAACATTGTATAGCAGGGGTCTAGTTGTTAGGACTGGTTGGCACTGTCTTGGTCCAGCAGCTCTATGATGGTAGACTTGGCTCATACCTTGGGATCTACCCTAAGGGGGCCAGGTACTAGCTGCTTCAACTCTGCCCTCTGGAGGGACCTAGAGCTCCCTCCCTCAGGATGCAATGTCCTTACTCAGGAGTAGCTGCTGAGTACTGTGCCCAGCTCTGGGCTTGGAGCCCCTGCCCCAGCAGCTCACCATGTGCTGGAGAAACTCATAGCCAGGGTGACTGGAGAGTACGGGGCTATCGCTAAGGAAAAAACAGAGGTACCTAAGCAAGGATTGATGATGATGACCGGAGTTTTGATGTGAAGGGCCAGAAGGAGGCAGCCTCATAAAAAGGGAGAGAAGACAAGCACTCAGAGGGCCAAGGCAGGAAGATCAAGAATTCAAGGCCAGTCTGAGCTATATAGCAAAGCTCTGCCTCAAAAATAAAGGGGGGGGGGGCTCAGGGCTGGAGAGATGGCTCAGCAGTTAGAAACACTGGCTGTTCTTACAGAGGACCTGGGTTTGAATCCCAACATCCATATGGAGGTTGACAACCATCTGTAACTCCAGTTCCAGAAGTTCCGACGCCTTCTTCTGTCCTCCCCAGGCACTGTAGGAGACAGGTGCACTTATCTGGGCATAACATTCATACACATAAAATAAAAATTAATAAATAGGGCTGGAGAGATGGCTCAGTGGTTAAGAACACTGGTTGTTCTTACAGAAGACCTGGGTTTGAATCCCAGCACCCACATGGCAGCTAACAACTGTCCGTAACTCCCAGGGGATCCAACAGCCTCTTCTGACCTCTGTGAGCATTGCACAACATGGGTGCATTTACCTACATGCAGGCAATACACACGTACACATAAAATAAAAATAATAAATACAACTTTTAAAAAATTAATAAATAAAAAACAAGAGCTGCACAATCTAGCTCAGTGGTAGAGGGCTCTCCTGGCGTACATAGGCCCTGGATTTGATTCCTCAGTCCACCAAAGAAGAAAACAGGGAGAGGGTTGGCTACATTACTTGGCAAGTAAGGGTGCTTGCTGCTGAACCTGATGACCTGAGTTCAGTCCCTGGGACCCACATGATGAAAGGAGAGAACTGGCTTCCACAGGTTGTCCTCTGACTTCTATATACGTGCTGTGGAACATGCACACACACAACTCTTAAATAAATTTTTAAAAAGGGGGAAAAGGAGCCGGGCGTGGTGGCCCACGCCTTTAATCCCAGCACTTGGGAGGCAGAGGCAGGTGGATCTCTGTGAGTTCAAGGCCAGCCTGGTCTACATAGTGAGTTCCAGGACAGCTGGGGCTACAAGGAGACCCTGTCTCAAAAAAAGACCAAAAATAGGGGGAGGGGAGGCAGGAGGAGGAGAGGAACCCCAGGAGAAGGAACAGTGAGTGCATAGATCCTGAGAAAGGAAAGCTGTGGCCCAATCATTGCCAGGCAAAGGCCCAGGAACTTGACAGAGTGAGGAAGGAGGGATATGAGTTTGAAGAGGACCAAGGCAGGACTTCATTTTGGTTCACGGGCTCTGGGCTCTGTGAGAAGGGAATGTGTGAGCAAGGGAGAGGTAAGCTCTCCTTCATCTTTAGAACTGACAGTGAAACTATTGGCTAGAGAGACTGAGGCAAGGGGGCCTGGGAAGGTCAATGCTGTTGTCCAGGTGAGGTGTTAATGAGGTAGACAGGATGGCAGCAGCTCAGGTGGAAACAGTTGTGACTGCTGATGAGCTGCATGGCAAGGGCAACTCCCAGGTTTCCCCGCAACTGGGCGGATTGACTGAGCTAAAGAAGGCAGTTGGGATGGTGGAGAACAGGTTTGAGGGCAGAGTCCCATACTCTGCCTGTGGAACATTCAGAAGTGCTGAGCAAGCCTTGAGTCATTCCAGATTGGGCTGCAGCCTAAAGCAGGCTGGAACTGTACGTTTGGGAGTTGCCATCAGCAGATGTTTAAAGCCACAGGTGTGGGTGGTGTCCTGCAGGAGAGCCCAGGACAAGGCCCTGGGGGCCTTATTCTGATGGGCAAGTCTCCTTCCTTGTTGCCTGTTGGGCCAGGGCTGATTCTGTCTTATGGGGTGCTGTCCTAGGCCTCTACTGCCTAAACCCCTCCCACCATGTCTCCAGACAAATGTTTCCAAACATCAGTTTACCCTAGGTGTAGAGGATGGGCAGAGGGCAATAAAGGGGCCCAAGAGAGTCAGAGGGAGTGGGAGGAACCCCACAACAATGGGCCTAGATGTCCAGAGGCATTGGGAGGGAAGGCTGGTGGTGTCAGATGCAGGGAAGGGTGAGAAGCAGCTATTGGCTCTGGCCACGTGATGCTTCTGGATGACCCTGAGATTGGCTTCTAGACAGGGGATGCCAAGTGGAGTCTTCAGTGAGAGGCAAGGAACTGGGGAGAGTAGCTCCCTAAGAGTGTTGGCAGCCCTTGGCAGCACAGCTTTGTCGAGGAGGGCAGGACATGGGGGCTACTGTGCACTGTGAATAGCTTGGTGAGAATTTCATGTAAGGGGCACTGTGCTGACCCGGGCTTGTGTGCCTTCTCCTGTGCCTGCATGGCAATGCCGGCATTTAGAGTGGGAGGAGGTTGGTGGCCTTTAGGGGGTTGAGTAATAGGTAGAGAAGTCTGGGCGAGTGAGCCGGTGGGCTGTGGACAGGAGGTTGCCCAGGAGAATGCCGGGTAGTAGGGTGGGCTGGGATCTGTCTCCACTGCTGTCTATGGCCTGCTGCTTCTTAGCCTCAGGTCGGGCCCTTGGCAGGCCTGACTCTCACCTCTGCACTGTGTCTCCCACTCCGTGTCTCCCTGCAGAAAGCGGGCGGCGGCCTGCGCCAGTGGAAGCGGGTGTACGCCGCGCTGCGGGCGCGCTCGCTCTCGCTGAGCAAGGAGCGGCGGGAGCCCGGGCCGGCGGCGGGGGCTGCGGCGGTCGGCGCAGGTGAGGACGAGGCGGCGCCCGTCTGCATCGGCTCCTGCCTGGTGGACATCTCCTACAGCGAGACCAAGAGGAGGCACGTGTTCCGGCTGACCACCGCTGACTTCTGTGAATATCTCTTTCAGGCTGAGGACCGGGATGACATGCTGGGCTGGATCAGAGCGATCCGGGAGAACAGCAGGGCCGAGGGCGAGGTGAGGCCCGAGCCTGTGCCCAGCAGGCCACCAGGGCAGGACAGGGCAGGACAGAGCAGGGTGGGGCTGCCTCTAGCTGCTGTGACCCAGTGCCCGCTCTGAGCCTCACTCACTCTCCTAAAAAACAGAGCTCTTGAGAGTTCACCTTGCAACTGCCCACCAGGGTTTGGGTGTGAGGACAGACACATACACAGTGGCTCCAGGGCAGCTAGCATCCTCTGGGTTCAGTGGCTAGCAGGAACAATAACAGCCGCATTAATGATTGTAATTACTGTTTTTGTTGGGACCGCCTCAGGCAGGCCCTGGCCCAGAGAGGTGAGCTGGCAGGAGCAGGGTGGCCAGTGAGCTGCCCCTTCTCAGAGCTGTGTCAATACTGTCCTGAGTCAGGGAAAGAAACACTGGCTTTGATCAGAGGTTAGAGGCTTGGTCTTTGGCAGCAGATGGGCAGGGGCTGAGCCGAGCGATTTGGCAAGGGCCTGGGGAGAACTGAAAACAATGGCATCCCTCCTGGTGTCTCCAGAGAGGGAGGACTGGGTCCCTGCACTGTCCTCTTGGCCAAACCTGCACAAAGGTCATTTGACACACCTCCGCAGTTAGGTGGGGGCCTGGGCTTGGAGGCTGGTGTCTGCCCAGAGGGCAGTGTGGCTGGGCTCAGTCCAGGTGGTACCTGGAGAGAGACATTGTCTCGTTCATTTATAGCCCCTGGATCTCAAACCTAGATGGGGACAAGCCCTTTCACTGGTGGGGCCCCACCTTCCTGAGGACAGCATCTTCTCACTGCAGGGAGGGACATACTTGGTTGCGTGGCTGTCAACTTATTGCAGCAGTCGCCTGTCATGGATGCGCCCTCTGTGCCTCCCAGGATTAGGATGAGTGCTACATGCATAGTTCTGAATCACAACCCTGATGTTGCTTTGTCTAGCCTCCATCCCCACCCCATGCTTATTTCTGAGGTGACTGAGGCTCAGAGATGTTAGGTGGCTTACCCAAAGTCACACAGCAGCCCAGGGAGTCTAGCCTTGGCCTTTATCCATCCAGGGTCTATACTGTCCACCTGGTGGATGGAGACAAGGCTAAGGCCCGGGCCAGGGAAGAGCCCTGGTAAAGTGGGCTGTGCGTACTGATGTGGCTCTTCTTTCCTCCTGTTGCAGGACCCCGGCTGTGCCAACCAAGCTCTGATCAGCAAGAAGCTTAATGATTACCGCAAAGTGAGGTAAGGCCCTGCTGTCCTGGAGTAGCCTATGGTAGGGTGGGGATCCTAAGGGGTTGGAGTACCCAGGCAGAGACCATCCTACTTGAGGGTCTCCAGTCCCCAGACATGCCTGGGGGAATTAACTGCGGAGGGAGGACATGGAAGCCAGGGAGGCTGGCATGCTGGACTACCCCAGATGAAGACCCCTCCTCTTCCCTTTTTCCTCTCTGCAGCCATAGCTCTGGGCCTAAAGCTGATTCCTCCCCAAAAGGCTCTCGGGGCCTGGGGGGCCTCAAGTCTGAGTTCCTCAAGCAGAGTGCAGCCCGTGGCCTCAGGATTCAGGACCAGCCTGCAGGGAGCAAGGGTAGGAGGGCCATGTGTACAGTGTATGCTTGTGCTGGGCTGTGTGCCTGCCTGTGTGTACCCAGGGTTACTCTGTATGTTCATGTTAGCCTACAAAGGTCTGGAGTCTCAGGGTTTCAGGACTTTTAGGTTTCTGGATCCTACTTCCCCTCTATGACATCCTTATTGGATAACCCTCTGGTCTCTGCTTGTAGCCCTTTGTGATGAGAGGCTCAGTCTGGGGGCAGCCCCCATCTTTACACACTTTGCGCTATTAGAAAGTGCTTCCTCAGCTGGAGAGATGGCTTAGTGGTTAAAAACACTTGCTATTCTTCCGTTAGTTCCTAGCTCCCATGTCAAATGACTCACAATGGCCTGTAACTCCAGCTCTAGGGACACCTCTGGCCTCTGTAGGCATTTGTACTCATATATACATACCCACCCATCCACAGCATACACATATTTTTTATTGATTTTTTTTGTGTATTTCATACATAAAATCATCTTTATACCCTCTTCCCCCTCCCCTTTGGCACCCTTCCATAGCCCACCCCCCTACTGGAGTTCATACAGTCTGTCATTTGTATTAAGGCCTATTATGTACAGTTAGTGTCCCAAGATTTCCCTCGCTGCAAGTTCATCCACTGGGATTTACTCAGCCTATCCAGAGGCTCTCCTTCCAAGAAGATTAGCTCTTCCTCACCCAGAAGTAATCAGTTGCCAAAAATTCTTTGACTAAGATTGGGGCTTGCTGTTCATTTCCACAGTTCTGTGCTGGGTTTTTGTCTGCCTAAGTTTGCATGGGTCTTGTACATTTTGACATCATTGCTGTAGGTTTGTATGAGAAGGGTCCCAGGTGCCTATGTCCATGTAGAACTATTTCCATGTGGTCATACACTTCATCCCTGGGCCATACAATCTTTCCACCCCCTCTTCTGCAATGGTCCCTGAGCCTTGAGTGGGTGGACCTCAGTATAGGAATCCTGTCCAAGGACCCACACTCGGCCAACTCTTATTCTCTGTGTTTTGGCCATTTGTGGCCTTTTGTGTTCCTGGCCCTCTGTTGTATGAGGGAGCTTCATTGATGATAATTGAAAGATGCATCAGTGTTCTCTTCATCCCTTATTCTATGTTCCCTGAGTCTTAGGTGTAGAGGTTGCATCCTAGATGTGCCACTTAGGTTTGGGCAATTCACAGAAAATCTCTGTGTGTGACCAATGGTGTAACTCTGTAATAGTCTTTGTCTGTTGAAAAAGAAGCTACTTTGATGGGTGATGACTGGGATACTTGTCTGGACATGTAAGGATCCATATTTTGCATATAGTTAGAAATTATATTTGTACTGGGATATGAGAGCTTTGGGGTTTTCTCTAGGATCTATGATCTCTCTGGCTATGTGTATTTGGCTAGGTTTACAGTACCAGATATGAGTTTCCTCCCACTGAGTGGGCTTTAAGTCCAATTAGGTACCTATTGATTACCCCCAAGATAAAAGTGCCACTACTGCACCAATATCATTTGCTGTGCTGGTCATTGATATGGTTTTTAGGCCTTGAAGCTGGGTTGGACCATCAATTGATGTTGTCCCTTAGCAGCTTGCATAGTGCTCTCCTAAGCTATGAGAACTAGCCTTCAGCGGAGGTGGCTTCTAGGTCAATTCCAGCTCCATTGCTCCAAATCCTGTGTCCAAAGTATGTCCTGTCTTCAGCAATAGGGTCTTACCATCAAGTTCTGGGAGACAATCAAGGACTGTGGCAATAACGTGTGTAATTTTGGGAGTCTCTTAGACTAACCTAGCCACAACTCAAAGGAAGGTTTCTCCTGCCTGGCACTATTTCTTGTTATGTAATCTTCACCTATACTCACACACTCATGTAAAGATTAGAGATGTTGTATGTGTAAGTGTAATTTTTCAGTAGGTTTTTGGACTAATACAATTCCCTCTGGGGTTTGTTTTTGGGTTTTTTTTTTTTTTTTTTTTGGTCTTTTTGAAACAAGGTCTTCCTATAGCCCCACCTGACCTGGAACTCCCTATGTAGACCGAACTGCCCTTGAACTCACAGAGATCTGCCTGCCTCTGCCTCCCGAGTGCTGGGACTACAGGCGTGAGCCACCATGCCTGCCCTCCCTCTGTTTTTTTTATACTAGCTAGGCACTGTTTATGTCTCCTCCTTCTCTCCTTGTCTTATCCTTCCTCCCTACCCTTCCCATTTAGTGTCCCCCTTTCCCCCATTTCCTCCTTGATAATTTTTGACATACACATCTTTTCTTTTCTTTTTTCTTTCTTTTTTTAAAAATTTAATAACCATATGATTAGAAGAAGCATTTCATTACAGCTTTAACATATTCCGTAACAATTTTCTAAAATGCAACAGTTTTCTAGAATGATTTTCTGAGTTGTACTCAGTATAAAACCTATAAGACATAAAATTGAATGACATACAAATATTTTTAAAGAAATCTTTAAAAAATGGGGCTGGAGAGTTAAGAGCAGTTAAGAACACTGACAGCTCTTGCAGAGGACCCGGGTTCAGTTCCCAGCTCCCACGTGGAGGCTAATAACCATCTGTAACTCCAGTTTCAGGGGATCTGACGCCCTCTTCTGACCTCCATGGGCATTGCACAGCACAAGTACACTTGCACACATGCAGGCAATACACTCATCCACATAAAAATTAAAAATAATTAAAATATATAAAAAAGAGAAATCTTAAAAAAAGAAAAAAAGAAAACTCTTCTTTGGTCATGCCAAAAAGTGGCGCCCATCACCACCCCACAGGTCAGTCCTTGAGGTTGGCAACAACCCTTACACAGCCATGAAGCTCCTTCCTGGGGGGCTAAGCACTTCATCCTTTCACCCTTCTCCTCTGGGATGTAATTTCCAACCTCTCTACTTCTTTGATGAAGTCCCTGTGTGACCCAGTGTATGAATGTGGCATTGAATGTATGGGACTCTTCTGGGCTCCCCTAGCTAATCCTGGCTCTCTGTACCACTGTCCACCCCAGATGATAGTGTGGCAGCCCCCAAAACTCCTTGGGGCATCAACATCATCAAGAAGAACAAGAAGGTTGCCCCTAGGGCATTTGGGATCCGGTTGGAGGAGTGCCAGCCTGCTACTGAGAACCAGGTGGGTCCCTGCCCTGCTCGGAGCAGGCAGTACATGGAAGGCCAAGGCAGGGAGCCAGAGCTGCAGGAATGAACACCAATCCTGCACCCTGTACATGGTTGGGTGGCCAGCCCAAAGAGGGAAACCCCTAGTTCTGCAGAGGGCCCTACTGAACTGATGTTTGGCCCCACCTGCCCCTTCAAGGTCAGTGGTGAGGTGAGTTCTGGTCCCTAGAAGGGAGGCAGTAAGGGCATCATCACCCCAGGGTTCCAGGCAGCAGCTCTGGACTTTATGCTGTCCTCACATTAGCCTCCTACTGCCTCCAGCCATATCCTTAACACTTCGACCCTGCCTGTGCCCCCAGCGTGTCCCCCTGATCGTGGCTGCCTGCTGTCGTATTGTGGAGGCACGGGGGCTGGAGTCCACCGGCATTTACAGGGTGCCTGGCAACAATGCAGTGGTATCTAGCTTGCAGGAGCAGCTCAACCGTGGGCCCAGTGACATCAACCTGCAAGATGAGGTGGGTGTGTCAGGTCTGCTGGGAGAGTTCCTTGGTATGTTAGGTTCTGTCCACTGTACCCTACTATGTGCCTGTCATTGGACCAGTGGCCAGGTGGCAGGAGGGAGCCTGCCCACAATAGCCAGCCCCAGTGGGCATTGCTCCAAACCCAAAAAGAAATGTAGTGACCTGATGGGTGCTGAGACAGAGGCAGGTGTTTTTTTTTTTTTTGTTTTGTTTTTTGGGGGGGCTTTTTGGGGACAGGGTCTTACTGTGTAGCTCAGGCTGGCCACTAACTTAAGTTTCTCCTACCCTCAGCCTCCAAGTGCTGAGATTATAGGTATGTGCCACCTCCACCTCCAGCTGGATAGCAGTTTTGTGTGAGCACTTAGGATGGCAGAGTTCACTTAGTCAATCAAAGCCGGATATGGGTATTTCAGGGAGAGAGAGGGCACAGGCTCTGAACACTTGCTGGGAATTAAACTTTCTAGAGGGCCAGCTAGTAAACATTTTAGGCCTTTTGCTACTACTGCTGCTGCTGCTCTCCTCCTCTTCCTGCTTCTCCTCCTGCTCTACCTCCTCCTCTTTGCAGGATGGGATGCTGGCTGGATTCCATGGGCTGCTGAGGTCTGTGGAGCTTTAGCTCTGAGGAAGGGGACATGCCATGTTCTCAGAGCAGCCATTCACCAAGGCTGGGAAGAGAGAATGTGGGTCCTAGAGAAACTGAGAGTAATCTGCAGACCTGGCTGACCCCTATACGAAAGAGTTTGTAGCAGGCCTCACAGTTCTCAAATGGTTCCCAGAGGGGCTTTGAGGAGCTACATGCAAGTCAAGACTCCCTGTGTTGATGGAAATAGAGTCATCTTGCTTTGCTCTGTCACCTTGGATTTTTTCTTTCTTTTTTTTTTTTGGTCTTTTTGAGACAGGGTCTCCCTGTAGCCCCAGCTCTCCTGGAACTCACTGTGTAGACCAGGCTGGCCTTGAACTTACAGAGATCCCCCTGCCTCTGCCTCCCCATTGCTGGGATTAAAGGCGTGCGCCACCACGCCCAGTCGATTTTTTTCTTATTTATGTATTTGTGTATTTATTTATTTATTTATTTATTTATTTATTTATTTATTTATTTATAAACTCTGAATGCTAAGCGGGCACTCTACCAACCTGGCCATATTTCCATCACAATTTACTTTTGTCTTTATTTATATATTTAATTTATTTAGTGTGTGTGTGTGTGTGTGTGTTGGGGTTGTCACAGGTGTGTGTGTGTGTGTGTGTGTGTGTGTGTTGGGGTTGTCACACATGTGCCATGGTGTGCATGTGGAGGTCAGAGGACAATTTGGAGTGAGGACAGTTCTCTCCTTCTACCATGTGGGTCCTGGGGATTGAACTCAGGTCATCAGGCTTGACAACAGGTACCTTTAACTGTTGAGCAATCTCTATCCAGCCCATTTTGGATTTTTATGTATGATTTTACTTGACCAACGGGGTTCTACTGAAAAAGATTTTGGGGAAACCATGAATTTGGCCAGTGAGCCACCACAAGTTATACACTATTGACCCTCCTGTGATGCATAGGAGTTTTTTTTTTTTTTGTCCTTGGGAGGTACATGTGCAAGAGAAAAGGATGCTCTGTCACTGAGGGTCTGTGTATGAGAGGCTAGACTGCTGAGGGCTGGAGCAGGGGCAGCTTCCAGAGTACCTGAAGGCATAGGAGGACAGGTGGGAAGTCTAGGTGGGGATTGATGACATTGTCCAAAACTCAAGGGAAAGGTTTGAGTGTTGGTCAGAATGTGGACACACCTTCTGGATTAGGCAGTGGAGACAGTAAAGCCCAGGGCTTGCAATAGCTTTCCTGAAGCCTTTGACCTTGATCCAATGGACAGTAGAGAACTTTTGATAGTCCTAAACTGAGAAGGTACAAGGAGAGAAGGGTGTGAGCAAGGGTGGTGCTGATGCTTAGTAGATAGCTACGGAGTGTGAGGCCTAGCATAGAGATGAGGGTAGAAGCCACAAGTGTTGGTCAGGGGTCCTCAGCAGGCCCCAGGTGAGGGGGAGCAGGGGAGCAACCCAGAGTCAGCTGCAGGAGAGGAAGGAAAGGGGCAAGAAGAGGAGAAGGCTGGTGGGAGCGGGGTACTGCCCTTGGCTCACATAAAGAATAGGGTGGCTTGAGAGGCTGAAGGAGAGAATGAGTCAGCTTGTGGCCCCATTGGATTTGGGGTGATGGTAAAGCACCTACATGGGGGTCCTCAGCCCCTAGATTAAGGAATCACATGACAGTCTGGAAGTGGGGTGACCATGGGAGCTGCCATCTGAGAAGAGGCAGTACAGAGGCAGACCTGCAAAAGCTTAGAAGGGCAGAAGGAGGGGGCTCTTAGGAAGCTGGGAAGCTTCTTAAGGTGTCAGACTGGATACCAGAGACTGGACTAAGGCTTTAGACTTGGCTGCTGAGAGATGAGAGGCATTCAGCCCTCAGTAAGGAATGGAGAGAGGTGAGCAGCTGCCCCTGGCATGCTGTGAAGCCCATCAACTCACCTTAGCTAGGGAGAAGAGGGACCACAGCTGGAGGGGGGCAGCCGGCCTGAGCCAGGGCCCAGAGTAGGCATGCCTAGCGTATTGGCTCTGCAGTTTGGTGACAGACATTACTGTGCCCGTTGTATCATTGCTGTGGAGTGTGCTGGAAGTCAGTGTTGTGTGTATGCTCATGAGCAAAGTGTTGTTGGACTACCTGGTATTGGACTGAGGCTTACTGAGATGAGTGTGCATATGGATTGTCTGTTGAGGGTGTGCCCTCGCTTTCTGGGCAGTTCTGAACAGTGCCCTGCAGGGAAGCCAAACCTGACTTTTCAACAGTGTAGGGTGATGGTGCCCCCTTGTGGAAAGAAGAGGCAATGACCTGATGGTTTATTCTGGTTATTTTATTTTGCTTTTTTTTTGGTCTTTTTGTTGATTGTATTTTGACATGGTCTCTCTAGTCACAGTCCACTTGGAAGTTACAATGTGAACCAGGATGGCTTCGATCTCACAGAGATCCACCTGCCTCTGACTCCTAAGAGCTGGGATTAAAGGCTCATACCACCACACCTGGTGTTATTTTACTATTTTTAATGTATATTTTTTATTGAATTTTTGTGCATTTCATTCATCTTTATATCCCGCCCCTACCAGCACCCCCTATAGCCACCCTCTCACCGGATTTCATGTATTCTGTCATATATGTTAAGGTCTATCAAGTCAAGTTAGTATATCCAGACATCCCTCAGTGCAAGTTCATCCACTGTGGTCTATCAGATAGGTCAGCCTATCTAGAGTCACTTCCTTAAAGAAGATATACTCTCCCTCACCCAGCAGTAATCAGCTGCCAATAGTTCTTCGGCTAAGGTTGGAGCCTGCTGTCCATTTCCCTAGTTCTATGCTATTTTTTTTTTTTTTTGTATGATTGAGTTTGCATGGGTCTTGTGCATGCTGACACCATTGCTGTAAGTTCATATGAGCAAGGTCCCAGGAGTGCATAAGACTGTGTTTCTGCTGGCTGTGGTGGTGCACGCCTTTGATCCCAGCACTCGGGAGGCAGAGGCAGGCGGATCTCTGTGAGTTCAAGGCCAGCCTGGCCTACACAGTGAGTTCCAGTACAACTGGGGCTACAGGGAGACCCTGTCTCAGAAAGACCAAAAAAAAAAAAAAGCCTGTGTTTCCTTATAGTCATGAGCCCTGGGTAGGTGAACATTCTAGTTATTTTATTAGACCTAAGTTACTTTACCTTAGCTCAATGGACATTTTGGGCAAAATAATTATATATTGATTGGGAGGGATGGGGGAGGGAGAGAGAGAGAAGAGATTCTTTTACATTTAGCATCATCCTTGGCCTCTGTCTGATACTCATTTGAGTGGTGACCCCTCCCCAGTTCTGAAAAATCAAAGTAGCAGGGCTGGCAAGATGATTCAGTAGGTAAGAACCCTTGCCGTGCAAGTCTGATGATAGATCGAGCTCTAGAATCCACAGTGCAAGGAGAGAGTTGACCTCCTCACACATGCCATGGCACCTGCACATGCACACAATAGTAATAAATAAACTTTTAAAAAGAAAGAAAGAGGGCTGGGGAGATGGCTCAGTGGTTAAAGCACTTGCTGTGCAATGTCAGAATCAGACTTCAGATCCTCAGAACTCACAGAAAGGCCAGGTGAGCATTCTGGCCCACTGTAATTCTAGCCTCAAAAGACAGAGATAGGATCCACAGAGCAAGCTGACTAGCAAGACTGGAGAGATGGTTCAGCAGTTAAGAGCATTGACTGTTCTTGCAGAAGGTCTGGATTTGAATCCCAGCACCCACATAGCGGCTAACAACTGTCTGTAACTCCAGTTCCAGGGGATCTGACGCCATTGTCTGTCCTCCATGGGTATTGCATGGTATGGGTATGCTTCCATATATGCAGACATAAAATTTATACACATAAATTTTTTTTTTTTTGGTCTTTTTGAAACAGGGTCTCCCTGTAGCCCCAGCTGTCCTGGAACTCACTATGTAGACCAGGCTGGCCTTGAACTCACAGAGATCCACCTGCCTCTGCCTCCCAAGTGCTGGGATTAAAAGCGTGCGCCAGCACACATAAAATTTTTTTAAAAAGCTAACCATATCCATGAACTCTGGGTTTGATTAAGAGACCCTGCCTCATTGAGTGAGGAAGAGCAATCAAGGATGATTGGGTCTCCACATGCATGTGCATGCGCACACATATGAAAATGGAAAAAGATAAAAAATTACTCCATCTACTGCCAGATATCCTTTGGGGGACAAAATCAGACCTCATTTAGATCGTTGGGATTCCTGTCACTCACAGGAGACAATGACAAGGAAACAAAAGCAGGGAATAGGGCTGGAGAGATGGCCCAGCGGTTAAGAGCACTGTGCTCTTGCAGAGGACTCAGATTTAATGCCCAGCACCCACATGGTGGCTATGAACCATCCTTAACTCCAGTTCCAGGGGAATCCAAAGCTGTCTTCTGACCTCCACGGCACTGCACGACACAGGTGCACTCACATACATGCAGGCAATACACTCATACACATAAAATAAAAATAATAAAATATTTTAAAAAAAAAGCATAGAATAAGGCCAAATCCAGACAAGCACCATGGAAGAAACAGCTGGAAGGTGGTGAGGTGGCAGGGGGTGGCTGCTTTGGAGCCATGAGGCAGGGTGCGGAGCCAGTAATGTGAAGGGCAGAAGAGGAGAGTTCCAGAGGAGGGAATAGCACATGCAGAGGGCCCAGGGCAGGAAGGCGCCAGGCATGCGAGTCCTGTGCTATGGGCACTTATACTTTGGGTGAGGAGGGTGGTGTCTAAGGATGACTCTTAGCTAGATAGGGAAAGTTGGGAGGCAGAAGCTGAGCCTGGCAGTTGTGGATCCAGTGGAGGTATCTGGTCCCTCGCCTCTGGCCCCTACAGTGCCTTGCCCACACAAAATCTTGTACTTTTTATGATGGGCAGTGTTGAGCCCACAGGGCTAGCTGGAGTCAAGTATGTATTCTGAACTGATATGGAGACCTGGCCATGGGTGGTCCTTGCGCTTGGATAGACATGGAGCTTGGGCATCTGGGGTGGACCTGTCTATGTCATGATGCCTCTGCCCCTCCCTAGCGCTGGCAAGACCTCAACGTGATCAGCAGCCTGCTCAAGTCCTTCTTCCGAAAGCTGCCAGAGCCCCTCTTCACTGACAGTGAGTAGTGGGCAGAAGTGGGAGGTGAGAGAGGGACACCCTAGACCCTCTGCTTCCCACCACTCCCTGCAGCTCTCTCACTCTCTTTGGGTTATTGCTTTTAATTTTGAGTGTTTTTGTTTCGTTGGTTTATTTTTATTTTTGTAGCCTTGTCTGGCCTGGATTCAGAGAGATTTGCTCACCTCTGTCTTCCAGGTGCTGGGATTAAAAATATACCACCACACCCAGTTTATTGAGTGCTTTTAAAAACAAAGAAGAAATTGTGTGTGTGTGTGTGTGTGTGTGTGTGTGTGTGTGTGTGTGTGTGTGTGTAACACTGAGCCTGTCCAACTGTGCAGCCAGTAGAAGCAAAGTCCCGGCCACTCCCTTGAATTCACGGCCACTCTTTCTGAGCATATAACTGTGAGCCTGGCACTGCTCCCTACAGCAGTTCCCTGAACAGGAACTGTTACCAAACTCCTTTACAGGCAGAGACAGAGGGTCTTAGAGAGGCAAAGCAACTTGTTAAGGTCACCAGCCTGTGAGTGGCACAGCTAGGATTCCACTCCAAGCTTCTGGCTGCAAAGCTCAGCTCTGGCCCATGGGCTAAGCTGCTTTTTAACAGTTGGAGCTGAGTATGGTGACACATGCCTATAATCCCAGCACTCATGAGGCAGAGGCAGGAGGATGGCACATTTTAAACCATCCTTGGCTACACAGAGAGTTCCAGGCTAGAACCCAGTCTCAAAAACAAAATGACAAGTAAACAACATCCGCCCTGGTTTTGTTGTTTTCTTCCTGACCCTCATGCTTGTGAACATGACATCTGAACCTACTCAAGGTTAGAGGTGGGCAAGTTCAGTGGGGTACTGGTGAGTGTTAACAGCTGACTTTCCAGGAGAAAAAAGTCTTGGTTGTTACCATTTTCCATTTTTGTGGTGTAATACTCTCACTGCAGCTTATTTCAAGTCACTGATATGGTGTCCCCAACATGGAGTAGGGAAGAGGATGTCCAGGTATCTGCAGAGCCAGTGTGAGCAGGCTGCAGTTGCACTGTTGAGTTGTTCTTAACAATAGCAAGGTTGAGATTTTTCAGTTTGTCTGCACTGCTACCAAAAGCTCTGCCTCGTTCTTTTCAATCAGCTGTGTTGGCCTTGTGCGGTCTGAGTAATTCTGTGCTTTTTCTAATCGCTCCTCTACTGGTAGGTGTTTGGATCACCTTAAAGCCCTACAGTGACCTTCCTTGAAATTTGTCCTTGCATGCCTGGGTTAGTCTGTAGGTAGATTGGTAGATGTGGAGTGCTCGATCAGTGTCTCACTAAGCATCTGTGAGAGCTGGCATGACTGCACTCTCAGGAGTCCAGGGATTAGAAGCACAGGTGAGTGAGTTTCCCATGTCCTTTTCAGCACTGAGTGTTATTCATTTTTGTTGTTACTTTAAAAAAATTATATTTATTTTTCATGGAGAAGAAGTAGGCATGCATGTGCACATATAGAGGTCAGGACAACTTGGAGGAGTCACTTCTCTCCACCATGTGGATCCCAGGGATCAAATTCAGGTCATCAGGCTTAGAGGCAAGCACCTCGCCTACTGAGCCATCTTGCCAGCCCTCATATTTTATTTTCAGACAAAGTCTCAATAAGTTGCCCAGACTTTCTTTGAAGCCTGCTCCTCTCATCTTTGTCTCCCAAGTAGCTGAGATTACAGGCATATATCAACCCACCATGCCCTGCTTGTTAATCTTTTCTTTTTTGTATGGTGCTGGTGATCAAACCTAGGGCCTTGTATGTGCTAGGTAAGCACTCTACTGAGCTACAGCTTCAGCCTTATTATTAATATTTTAAACTTTTGCTGTTCCGTAGGAGGATGGCGCCTCATTATTTTCATTGCATTTCCCTCATTTTTAGGGAGATTATGTGTCTTCATTAGTTTGTTGGCTTTTTCCATTTCCTCTACAATGGCTTCTTCACATTGTACACCATATTTCTGTCGGTCATCTTTTTTGCTATTGATGTGTGGGAACACATTCTTTCTGTATTATGTACATTAACCCTTTGTTGGTCTTTGCAAATATTTGCTCTTGTCTTCCATTTCCCCTTCATTTTCCTTTTTGAAACAGGGTCTTGCTATGTACTTCAGGCTAGCTTTGTACCGTGTACCCCAAGCTAGCAATCCTGCCTCAGCCTCCTAGGTGCTCGGATGACAGGGTGACCACCATAGCCAGTTGCCTTTCCCTTTGAATTTTTCAGTTTAGAAATGAAAAATACCAGGTGTGGTGGCGCTCTTCTGACTTCTGCAGACATTGCATGACATGAATACATTTACACACAAGCAGGAAATACATTCATAACACATAAAATAAAAATAATAAAATATTTTTTAAAAAGAGAGTACATAGCCAGGACTGGTGGCACACACCTTCAATCCCAGCACTCGGGAGGCAGAGGCAGGCGGATCTCTGTGAGTTCAAGGCTAGCCTGGTCTACGTAGTGAGTTCCAGGACAGCTGGGGCTACAGGGAGACCCTGTCTCAAAAAGACCAGAAAAAAAAAAAGAAATGGAAAATAATCTAAATTTTTTTGTGTGTGCTAGGATTAAAGGTATGCACTACCACACCTGCACACCTGGCTTAATCTAAATTTTTTATTACATTTATTTGTTGAAAGAGAGAGAAAGAAAGAGCGAAAGCACCAGCCTTAGCATGTGGAGGTCAGAGGACATCTTCTGAGTCACTTCTTTCCTCTACCATGTGGGATCCAGGGATTGAACTCAGAGCATCAGGCTTGGCAACAAGCATATTTACGCACTAAACCATCTCACTGCTCCTGAAAATATTTTTTTTAAGCACCTAAACTATTTATCATTCTTTAATGGATTGTGTATCTCATGTTTAGGTCTTAATGATCATAACAATGTTTTCCTTTTTTTTTTTTTTTTTTTTTTTTTTTTTTTTTTTTTTTTTTTTTGTTTTTTGTTTGGTTTTGTTTTGTTTTGTTGAGACAGGAGCTCTCTGTAACCCTAGCTGGCCTTGAACTGGCTATGTAGACCAGACTGGCCTTTGTCCTGTAGTGAAATTCCGGTCCTTCTCACTGCCCTGCTGGCCTTGCTGACCGAGCCAGTTGAGCGCCTAGTGAGCTTCAGGATGTGGAAGCAAAGCCTCTCTGTCATTCTTCCTTTAAACTATATTCTTTGGGTGTGTGTATTGTACACCTGCAGAGACCAGAGATGCCTTCTATCACTCTCTACCTTATTTTCTGAGACAGGGTCTTTAACTGAATCTGGAGTTTGTCAAATGGCCAAGACTGGCTGGCCAGTGAGCCCCAGGGATTCTCCGGTCTTCTCTTCAGCACCGGGATTACAGGGTACACTGCCACACTGGGCTTTTTATGTGATCCTGTGGATCCAAATTCAGATCCCTATGATTACACAGCAAGCACTTTACCCACTGAGTCATCTTCCCAGACATAAACCATATTCTTGGTAGTCTTGTACATGGCTCATCAGGATGAATCTTGTTTTATATTTTGGGGTGCTGGAATCAAGGGCCTGGTCATGCTGAGCTTCCACTCACTGAGGAGTCCCACTCTAGCCTGATGGAGGATAGGGGCCAAAGGAGGTAGGCAAGAACCCTCATCACCCTCTGTATAGAAGTTCCCTGAGGACTTCTTGGGGGAAATTCAGGAATTGGAGACTCTTGAGACAGGTGGGGTATCTGAAAGTTCCCTCCTTTTTCTTCTGATCTGCTGAGCCTTGGGGTCCTTGCCTGCAGACATGGGGACCCTGTTTGGGGATCAGTACCAACCTCCAGTGTTTCTTCTTCCCACATGAACACCCCTGGCCTGCAACACCTTTCCCTCCTGGTTGGGACCCTCAGCTCCCAAGAGTGGGAAGGGGCTGACTCCCATCTCTGAGACTCTCCCCTGTGTTCTAGATAAATACAACGACTTCATTGAGGCCAATCGCATTGAAGACTCAAGAGAGCGGATGAAGACACTGCGGAAGCTGGTGAGGAAGGGGGTGGTCATCAGGCAGGAGTGGCGATCCATTGCCACTCCTGTTGCGGCCTTGGAAAAGTCCTTCTCCACTGTGGCCTGTTTCTCCATTTGTACCAAGGAAGGGATTGGAAAGCAGATTCCAATCCCTAGGGTGGGGCAGTGAGTGTCCCTTTGGGGTGGGGTGGTGGAGGCTGGATTGGAGAGGCTATCACTGCATGGTCCCTTGGTCCTCCTCCCATCTTTCTAGATCCGGGATCTCCCAGGACACTACTATGAAACGCTCAAATTCCTCGTGGGTCATCTCAAGACCATTGCTGACCACTCAGAGAAAAACAAGGTTTGTGGGACTCCCTCATAGAGTCTCTAAAGTACTGGTTGCACTGGGGGGACTTCCTCAGCAGGTTTGGATCCTAGACCTGCTGTTTTGCCCTCTTCAGAAGGTCATTGCATCCTGACACTCCCTTCACAGCAAGCTAGTGCTTTCTCCCCAGAGAGCCAGCTCCTGAGTTGCTGAGGCCATCCAGAGCTACAGTCCCCTGTGCAGGGTGACATCTGTGCTCTGATCCAGTTCCAATCCCTTAGCATCACATTTTCCTAATCCAGCTCCTTCTGTCTTTTGGTTCTGCAGTGGAGAAAATGAGGGGGCCGGATACGATATCTCCTAGTTCTAAAATACCTTTGGAACCTCCAACATGTTTCCCACATCAGGAAACCCATTGCCAATACTAACCACTCAGGGCTCCCCAGCCTGGGTGTGTAGGCTGGGGATTGCTCAGCTGCCAGGCTGGAAATGAGAGAGGCTAAAATCTGGTTTGTGCTCTACTTGCCAAGCCCTTTTGTGCCCGTGTGAGATGTCCATCCCATAGTCTGGGGACATCTCAAGATGGGGTCAGGGACCTGGGGTGAGGAAGGAATGGCAGGCACAGAAGTTATGCTCAGCATACTGACCCTGGGCTTTTCTCCTCTACAACCCAGATGGAGCCCCGGAACCTGGCTCTAGTCTTTGGACCGACGTTGGTAAGGACATCTGAGGACAACATGACAGACATGGTGACACACATGCCGGACCGCTACAAGATCGTGGAGACACTGATCCAGCATGTAAGCATCTGTTATGTGTTTGTGTTCTGGAAGTCTGGGACCAGGCTTTGCTTCTGCCCAGCCCCTATGCCCTGTGTGGCTGCTAGGGAGCCGTGCGGCTTTCAGCAGGCACACTGCCATCATGCATCTAAGGGGTGCAGATGGGGCAGGGCAGGGACCAGGGGCAGAGACAGCATCCTGCATGGTGCTCTGGTGTGTCCTACTGGTTCACCACCCTCTGGCTCCCTGGTGGTCTAGGAGCCCTGGGTTCTGGTAGATTCTTACTAGTGTCCTGGGAGGATGAAGAACACATAGTGGCCAGCAGAAGGCGATAGAGGCCTCCACCTTCTGGAGCCAACCCGAAAAGCTCAGGGATGATCTTATGAATTCCCAGAGCCCCATTTCCCAATCTTGTTACAGCCACAAAGTGTGGACCCAGAACCCTCTCCTGCCAGGGGGAATACAGTCGGCTACTGGTCACAGGATGGGAGCCCTCCCCTCCTCACAGACACCTCAGAGAAGAAAAGCAAGATCCTGTCACCCCCATTTTATAAATGAGGAAACCAGGGCTCAGAGACAATGACTTGAAGAAGGTCACACACCTAAAAATTGGTGGCTCCAACCAGGGTCCATCTGCCCAAAGTTTGTGCTCCTTTCCCAGTACCCCCTTCCTCCAGGTCAGGGCTCACTCTGGGAAGGGCAGCTGACAAGGCCTGAGAATCAAGGCAGCAGTGGGCTTTGGCCATGTTGATTCCCTTGTATGCTGGTCTCCTCCTTCACTCCATGGTCAGGGCTTTAGCCACAGGAGGGAGGGTTGTGGCCTCTTGTCCATCCAGCACGGCACTGGCTACCTTAGGACTCCTAGGCAATGGCAGAATCTCTATGTGGCCTGGAAGGGTTTAGCCCGCATGTACCAGGAGTATTGAAGAAGAGGAGGGAGGGCCTCTGGCCCTATGGCTTCTGGAGAAGCTGCTGGATGCCTAAGGCCTGTGGTGAATAGAGGAGTCAGGAATAGCAGCCTTCAGGGAGAAAGTGGGCCCAAAGCAAGTCACCTTACCACCCCCAGATTCCTGAGGAGGTATCCCTTCCCTGGGCAGGGCAGGGGACACATCAGTCTCAGTACCCAGCCTAGTGTGCACATGATGAACACTCAGCGTTTGCTGAGGGAACGAGTCAGCGAATGAATGAATTGCTAACCAAGGATATACAGGCTGGGGTTTCCAACTAGGGATTCATTTCTGATAACCAGCTGAGCTGGTAACCTTCCATTCTTGGCTTCCTGGGCATGGGAACATCCTAGGCCCTGAACCGGCCCACCCAAGCCTGTGGAGTCTGCTTGGTCCAAGGGCTCCCCATAGGAGCTGCAGAACCCAGGCAGGGATTGGGTTGCAGAGGCTGAACTGGCCTATCCCAGCCCTGTCCAGACAGTGACCATTGGAATTAGTGGGTAGCATTAACTCCTGGGGGTTTCAGCCATCATGGTTTCCTCTTGTGTGGGGCTCCAGTCAACCAGGGAAGCCTGGGGCAGTCAGTGGAAAGGGGTCTCCATTGGGAAGTGAGATATGAACAAGACCTCTGCAGAGCAGCAAGGCAGACCCAGGCGTTTAGCTTCTTGGTGGAAGTTAGCAACGAGATTGACTGTTTCCCAAGTCAGCTGGAAGCCAGAGGCCACTGCAGGGGATTTAGACATTTACTCAGCAAATGTGTGACACTGATTCTTCTCAGCCTTGGGTCCTTTTCTGGCCACACCCCAGCCCAGGCACTTTTGATTGTGGAGCTCTCCTGTGTGTTGGGGTTACTGGGCAGCGTTTCTGGCCTCCACCCCTCAATGCCAGACCATTTTCTCAATTGTGACAAAGATATCTCCAAGCCAGGCCTGGGGACATAGGCCTGTAATCTCTACTACTTGGGAAGCTGAGGCAGGAGAGCTACAGTTCATAGCCAGTCTGAGCTACATGGCAAGTTTGAGGACAGCCTGGGCAACAGAGCAATGCCTGTTTCAAGCCCACTCCCAATTGTGTTTGGCAGTTTTCCCACCTTTCCCACATTTTAGAGCAATTTGTAATGGCTGATGAATGTTGGGGTAAATTTCAAACAGTGAAATGATCAGACCTGGGGTGAGCTTGAATTTTAGTAAATTAAATGGTCTTTAAGTTTTTTTCTTTATGTGAATTTTGGTCTCTTTTTAAAACTATATTGACTATATTTTATATCTAAAGTTATTTCCCACTTTCCTTCTGAATTAAAAAAAATTTAATTAGCATACAGAGCAATGGGTGTCATTACAGTGTTTTCATACCTGTGTCACTGTGCTGTGTGCTTGTTCATCACACTCACCTATTGATTTCCCTCATCCCCTTTGTACAACTCTTTTTAAAAAATATTTTCATTGCCGGTCATGGTGGCACACTCCCAGCACTCGGGAGGCAAAGCCAGGCGGATCTCTGTGAGTTCAAGGCCAGCCTGGTCTACATAGTGAGTTCCAGGACAGCTGGGGCTACAGGGAGACCCTGTCTCAAAAAGACCAAAAAAAAAAAAATTATTATTATTTTTATATGCTTATGAGTGTATTGCCTGCATGTATGTAAGTGCACCCATGTCCTACAGTGCCTGCAGAGGTCAGAAGAGGGTGCTGGATCCCCTGGAACTGGAATTATATATGATTGTTAGCCACCATGTGAGTGCTGGGAACTGAACCCAGGTTCTCTGCAAGAGCAGCCAGTGCTCTAACTGCTGAGCCATCTCTCTAGCCCGTACCACTCTTTTTTTGACTGATCTTTTGTTTGTTTTTTTGAGACAGGGTCTCCCTGTTCTCCAGCTGACCTGGAACTTGCCATATGAACCAGGCTGGCCTTGATCTCACAGACATTGCCTCTGCCTCCCGAGTGTTGGGATTAAAGGTGTGTGCTCCCATGCCCAGGGAATTTTTTTTTTTTTTTTGTATATTGATTTTTGTATCCTGTTATTTACTATAAGTGTCCATCAGATCCAAGAGTTTTCTGGTGGTCTTTTGGGACTTTTAAGTATAGGATTATGTCATCTGCAAATGGGGATACTTTGACTTCTTTTTGTAGTCCTTTTATTTTATTTCATTCTCTTGTCTTGCTGCTCTAAAGGCTTCAAGCAGTATATTAAATAGGAATGGTGGGAGTTAGCACCCTTATCTCATTCTTGATTTTAGAGTAAATGCTTTCAGTTTAGTACATATCTATGTTTGTCAGAGATAGCCTTTATTGGGTGCTGGAGAGGTAACTTAGCAGTGACTCACCATGAAGAATGTTTGCCGCTCCTCTGGAGGACTTGAGTTCAGTTCCCAGCACCTATGCTAGGTGGCTCACAACCACCTGTACCTCCAGCTCCAGGTATCTGACATCCTCTTCTCACCTCCAGGGGTACCCGCACACACCCGGCATATGGTTACATAGACTCAAGCACACATACACATAAAATTTAAAGCAAATCTTTGATTGTGTTGGTTTATATCCCTTCTGTTCTTAGTTTCTTTCATGTTTTGGTCATGGGATCTTGAACTTTGTCAAAGACCTTCTCTGCATTTATATGATTTTTGTCCTTAAGTATATTTATGTGTTGTATTATATTTATTTATTTGCATATATTGAACCATCCTTGAACCCCCTGGATGAAATCAGATTGGTTGTAGTGTACTATCTTCTTGATACATTCTTGAGTTCAGTTTGCAAGTATTATATTGAGACTTTTTGTGTCTACGAGGCTGGTCTGTAGTTTTGTGTTTTTGTCGTATTCTTGAGGAGTACTGGTTTTGTAGAATAAATTTAGTACTGTTCCTTCCCTTTCTATCTTGGGGAACAATTTGAAAGTATTAGTATTAGCTCTTTCTTATAGGTTTGGCAGAATTTGGCAGAAAATCTTCTCTAACCCTGGGGTTTTCTTTGTGAGTACTTTTTTTTTTTTTTAAGTTTGGAATACTTTTTATTTTTATTATATATATATATTTCTTCTTTGATTGATTTATTTATTTTTATGGGGCTTTTGGCTACTCTAACATTCCTCCCTCTGATGTGAGAACTTTTTATTACTGCTTCAGATTGCTTATTATAAATCTATTTATATCTTTAATTTTGGTAGGTCATATATGTTTAGGGATTTATTTCTTTTAGATTTTCCAGTTTATTCTTTTTTATTTATTTCTATTTTATGTATATGACTTCTTTGCCTGCATGTATGTTAAGTGTACCACATACATGTAATGCCTGTGGAAGTCAGAAGAGGGTGTTGGAGCCTCTGGAACCGAAGTTATAGGCAGTTATTACTTGCCATTTGGGTGCAGGAAATTGAACCTGGGTCCTCTGCAAGAGCAGCAAGTGCTTTTAACTGCTGAGCCATCTCTCCAATTCCCATAGATTTTCCTTTTTTTTTTCTCTTCTCTCTAGTGATGTTTTAATATAGTATTTTGTCAAACTTGTCTGCCATGTCTAACATTCTTTGTTTTGCTTGATTGAGTCTATCAGTGATGCTTTCCACTTTTTGTTTGCTTGTTTATTTGTTTGGTTTTGAGACAGGGTCTCCCTATGTGGCCATGGCTGCCCTGGAACTTACTATGTAGACCAGGCTGGCCTTGAACTCATGGAGCTCCACCTGCCTCTGTCTCCCAAGTGCTGGGATTAAAGGTGTGCACTACCACACCTAGCTTCTGCTGTGCTTTTTATTTGATTAAATGTTTCATTCCAAAGTTTCTATTTTTCCACATTCTTTATTGAATTGCTGACTCTTTCATCCCTATCGCTGATTTTTCTCAATTCATATTGCTGCTATTATAGTAGCTTGCTTTCTCCTCTTCAAGTGGCACTGGGGGACTTGAGCCCTATAGAACAGCCTGCTCGATAAGATTGCCAGATAAAACCAGAAGAGAGCCAAACTAACAGATGCCCAAAGCATGACACAGAAACACAAGAAACTTAAAAAAACCAAGGCAACTCCTCCAAAAGATCTTCACTCAGGTGCCGAACTCAAAGATACTGAATGTGGTAAAGGCCAGATGA